GGCCTTGAAAAACCATTCTTTAATAAATCTACGCCTTTGATAGGCATTGAAAAAACATTCTTTAATAAATCCACGCCTTTGATAGGCCTTGAAAAAATATTATTTAATAAATCCACGCCTTTGCTAGGCCTTGAAAAAATATTCTTTAATAAATCCACGCTTTTGATAGGCCTTGAAAAAATATTCTTTAAAAATCCACGTCTTTTTTGGACCTTGAAAAAATATTCTTTAAAAATCCACGCCTTTGTTGGGCCTTGAAAAAATATTCTTTAATAAATCCACGCCTTTGTTGGGCCTTGAAAAAATATTCTTTAATAAATCTACGCCTCAGTTGGCCCTTGAAAAATACTCTTTAATAAATCCACGCCTCAGTTGGCCCTTGAAAAATATTCTTTAAGAAATCCACGCCTCTGACAGGCCTTGAGAAAATATTCTTTAATAAATCCACGCCTTTGGTAGGCGTTGAAAAAATATTGAATCTTTAAAAATATTTTTTAAAAATCGAAACCAAGTAACCAGTCTTATCGCTTGCCCCTCGATAGTTGTCATTGCTGTTGCCTACATTCGATACTATTTTTTTTGTTTCAAAGAAAAAAGTCATGTTAAATATGTTGAAAAACGTATAAATAAATATTTAAGATATGTGTGATTTATCATGTTTGTTTATATCTATCTTTCTATACATCAGAGCTACCACACAAAAACAAAAAAAGCGTCAAGAGATTTACAAAGATTGGACTCAATTTTCTATAGTAGCAAAAAAAGATAGCAACAACAACAACAATAGCAGCATCTCCAGTATATAAATTCACTTTTTCTATTGGCATCTTCAGCAACACGGAATTACAAGTGAATTGTTTTCCTAATTCCTTTGACTTTTTCTTTTCATATCATAATGTGTGTGTGTGTGTGTGTTTTTTAAGATAAGCTTTGTTTTAGCTTCTCTTTTATGTTTTGTGAAACGCACAAACAAAAAAATTCTCTGCCAAAAAGACTTTCTTCTTGCTCACCTGCAAAAGGTCATGGCCTATAGAAATAAGGTCAACTAGCTGAACAAAACAAAAACAAAAAGGTCTAATCAAAATTTTACCACTAAATTGAATTAGTGAATGATTTTTGTTTTGTTTTTGATTTTAGCCACAGCCCCATTGGCCATTGTGGGCAACACATTAACATACATACAATATTTCGTGTGTGAGTCTGGTACATAGGAAGTCTGGGGTTGGGTTAATCATGTGTGTGTAATGGAAGTTATAAGCGTTTTTTATTAACAATTTTTAGCAAATGTTTTAAACACGCTATTTGGTAATAATCATTGCCAAAATAATGTGAGTCAGAGGTACCTCAATTTTACATTTCAATGTGGGTCTTGAGATTGTCTGAAGAAGTCAAAATGAACTTAAAATAGAAATTTTATCTTCATAACTATTTTAACCTCAATAAATGCAAAATTAATTATTCAAATGCGCGCTTCAAAGTATCGGAAAGGGGACGGAACCTTTTTGTGGGTTATATATAGACAATTTTCTACAAAGATTCGAAATGCTAAATTACAGTGATTTCGTGGATAAATGTGACCAAATATTTAAAATATCGAAAAGGTTGCCTAACGATAAATGAATGCCATATTAATATTTGGACATGTATTGAACATTTTCTTCATAGATATATGTATTTCAATCTCGTAAACCCATGAATGCCTATTAATAGGGAAAATTCGCCTAAAATCTTAAAAATTTTAAAATTTCCGTATTTTTGGATTTTATGCATGTAATGCATTTTATAAATGTAAAATGCAGTGAAACAAAAACTTTGGAGTTTGTGTGTTTGGTGATGGCGGGTTTCTATGGCACAAAAACTACTTTTCATTTAAAATTTTCTATTTTGATTTTATGTTTTATGTCTTTGTTATATATTGTCTAGATTTTTCTTACCTACTTGCATTTTCACGTTCTGCGTTATTCATATACAATGTTAACAAGTGAAAAAGCGTTAAGTTCGGCCGGGACGAACTTTGGATACCCTCCACCATAGATATATTGACAGGTACTAGAAATGAAAATATAGGGAGCATACCATAAAGTGGACCTATATCGACATTTTTAAAAAGGGATTATGTAAACCATAACAAAAAATGCATTAATTTTTAATGGATAATTATATATTATGGCTAATCGAAATATTGGTTCTACACCCCATGTTTCTTTGGACTAAATCCGTTACAAAAAATGTAGTTTTCATCCAAACTGTGTCCATCTTATTATTTCTTCCAATCTTAGTTCAAATTCAAATTTTTTATCTCGATATCCTCCGCAAGTGAAATGATTACATCAGAGTCTAAGAACCAAACTCAAAACGCGGAACAAATCAGATAACCATTTGAATATAAAAAAGGGGGTTATATGGGGACTACCCCAAAATGGGGGCGAATATTAATAATTTTTGGTAGGGAGATTTGGTACCATATACGACTACAAAATACCAATTTGCAGCAAATTCGGTTGAATAACGCGTTCAAGAACCCTAAAATACCTTATATGGGGGCTATCCGAAAAAATGGACCTATATTCATAATTTTTTGTGGAGAGATTTGGGACCTATTAAGAACTCAAAATACTAAATTATAGCTAATTCGGCGGAAAAATACGATCAAAATCCTCAAAATATTGAAAATTAGGAGGTACCGTTATATGGTGGCTACCAGAAAAAGTGGACCTATATTTATAATTTTCCGTGGAGACATTTAGTACCCAATAAGAACCCAATGTAGCAAATTTCAGCGAATTCGGTTAAAAAACGCGCTCAAGAACCCCAAAATACCGAAAATTGAGGGGTACCTTTATATGGGGGGTACCAGAAAAAATGGACCTATATTTATAATTTTTAGTAGGGAGATTTGGTACCTAATAAGAACTCAAAGTACCAAATTTCAGCGAATTCGGTTGAAAAACACGCTCAAGACCCCAAAATTGGGGGGTACCCTTATATGGGAGCTATGCCTAAACGTGGACCGATATACCCCATCTTCGAACTTGACCTGCCTGCAGATAAAAGACGACTCTATGCAAAATTTTGGGGCTCTATCTCAATTCGTTTAGACGCTAGAGTGATTACAACAGACAGACGGACAGACGGACATGCTTAGATCGTCATAGAATTTTACGCTGATCAAGAATATATATACTTCATAGGGTCGAAAATGATTATTTCGATGCGTTACAAACGGAAAAACAAAACTAATATACCCTCCAGATATTCAACTGATTTTTTGTTTTACAAAACATGAAATGTGATATAGCGAACAATTCTGCATCATTGAGTTAAAAATCACGATTTTTGATTTATGCCGGTACTGAAGCAAATGGGCGATGATAATTTTATCCAAACTTTGAAAATAGTAATATTTCTTCCAAACTTAATTCAATCTCGAAAATGAGGTACCTCCCTCAAAAAATATTCCATATATATTACTAGAAATGAAATGAATTCGGACGATGTAATCGTACAACCCAATATTTTACCCAAAACTTTTCAATGTTTTAAGATGGGATGGGTCCATTCCTTTTAGTATCCCTCCCACAATGAAACAATATTGACAAATTTTTATCATATGAAGCGAACAGAATTTCTAATTTCGTCCAAACTTTGCACGTCGCAATATTTTTTCTCGAGTCTAGATCAATTTCGAAGTCTGAAACCTTGTAAATTTATGTGAAGGGAAGGGAATTACTTGTATTGATATAAAAACCATCTGAGCCAAATTTTGGCCGTCTATTTCACGTGGTTCGGCAGTTAATGAGTTTATACAAAATTTTTGGGTAAATACTCAAAATAGGGGTGCCTTTGTATGGGGGCTACCAGTAAACGTGGACCTACATATATACATTTTTGCAAGGACATTTGGTACCCAAAGAGAACCCTATGTGCCAAATTACAGCCATGTTTACGTCTATGATGTTTGATATTGAAAATGGAATATATCGGCCCAAGGAATTGGTGGTAATTTGTTTTTTTTTTTTTGGATTTTAATTGGGTAGCGAATCTATTTACCCAGAAATATCAATATTGTTCAATTTTTGAGAAGCTCTGAAATTTTAGTATTCCGAATTTTCGGTATTTTGAAGGTTTCCCAACACGATGGGCTTGAAATTTCCCGTTTATTGGAGGATGAAAAACATAAAATTTGCAGAAAATTTTCAATGTACATATGTACATTTTTTGACATAGACCTTACCTAATGGTTCTAACACATTTTCGGTATTTTGGAAGTTTTAGCCACATTTTTTACACCCAAAAGGTCTGTAGTTTTAAATTTCGGGTACCGTTAGGATGTGATGATGTTTTTGAATACCCTCCATCTAAACATCCCGACAATTTTCCACATTTTAAAGAATGTAGCTATGACTTTACTTCTGAAGTCGCTGTAATTTAACATTGTCAAAAATTTACGTATCCCCTATACTATGGTCCATACGGTATTTTGAAATTCCTAACCCATTTTTTCATCCTGAGTTTGTGTTATTTATTATTTCATTTTCTCAGTGCATAAACTACCAACTAGCAGACAATTTGCAATGACCTACTCACCAAATAAAGTCCCCTGCCGATTTAAGAAAATTTGTAAAGTGGTGTAATTATTCAACAAAAAATATATATATCCTCAAAAAATACAATATATGTAATTTTGACATACAGTCCATATTTATATTTTTAGTGTTCTATTCACATTTTTAAACAAAGTTTTTTTAGATAGAATTTGAAATCATCTGTCTCGATGGCAATAAGTTGGGTTAACGACTTATTCCACAAACCACGTAGACTATGGGTACCCAGATATGATAAAAACACGATAACATTTTTGTAAGGACTATTATCTCCATAAGCTTGAATTTAATAAAAAGCTCTGTTAAATTAATAATTGTGTTACGGCTTCCATTTGACCTTAAAATTTTAATATTATTTGTATATCTTGTGTGTTCACTGATTTTTATTTATTTTCATTATAATATCTCTCCTATAACTAAACCATTATTTTTTCGCACATTTTCACCATTCAAACACCTCTCCAATTCATCACGTAGATCAGCGGCACCTTGCATATATGTCCGGGAACATTGTTCCGTACAAATATATTCATTATATCTAATTACTTCATACTTTAAAGATAAATATTGCATTCGATCTCGTGATAGAGATTGTATAGAATACGAAATGGGTATTGCTGCTTCAGACTGAAAATAAACAAAATAAAAACTATCACAATTAAGACTTTTCAATATTAAACAACAAACTTACCGCATTATTCATACACTCAAAATAACCATATGGCAGAGATTCATTTCGACGACAGCCATACAATCCCGAACATATTTCATCTCTCATTCGATCCACTCTGTCCAAATCTGGTACAATTTGTCGATGTAAACATTGCGTGGCATTATTCGAAATTTCAACACATCGGGTATAGTTCGCTTCAAATTCATTTGTTAGATTTGTCAATTGTGTTGTATAATCGTTAAAACATTCAGCACTTCGTTCAGGATATTTTACAATACTGGCATTTGAATTTCGAATTATTTCAGCTAAATTTTGATTAACCATCGATATAACTGTTAAACAACTAGCTTGGGAAATTACCACGAATGTTATGAATTTATACATATTTTCGGAAATGATAGACCTTTTTGTTTTGATTTTTTGTTCGCTAATGATTGCAACTTTGCAAAGTGCAATTTGTTTTAAGTATGAATATAAGAAAAATAATATCTAAAGGTATGTGTGTTTGTCCTCATTATTAATAATGTTTTTATGATTGTTTATCTGACATGCGTTGCTCCCGAATTGACGACGCCGCAACGTCTAAAATAAAAGCATTTTTATTGTAAAATCATTGACACCTATTTATCATTTTGCATTTTAGTCGTCAGATGTGTATTGTTTGCTAGATAATTTGTTTTTTTTTTTCGCAGATAGCAAAAAATGTTAATGAGGTCCAACATAAAGAGTTGTGTATATTTCCTGAAAACTCAAGTGTTTACGATTTTCCTATTGGGCTACAACTGGTACTCCAACTATATATTCAATATGATTCAGAAGGTGTTTATGTTTCCGGATAAGATAGACCTTTCCTAAACGAGATGAAAGACAAATACCTAATGGTTATGTTTTAAAAAATCCATTTATATGTTTAGTTTTTGAAAAAAAAAAAATCCAAAACTGTAGTTACTTCTTCAAAAAAAAAACTTTTTTAAAAATTAACGCTTATGGCTACACCTTGGAAAAATCTTTTTAAACCAGTAAGGAAAGTAGTAAAGTCGGACATGGCCGACTATATGATACCATTCACCATTATGGGTATATTAAACAGGACTATAAACATGAAATTGGGTGAACTAAAATATGTGATGTTTATCTAAACGTAAATCGACTCAGATCAATCCATAAACATGTCATTCGATTGTTACAATGGGCAGAAGTGTGAAAATCGACTAACAAATATCAATAAGACATCCTTTGGGCTATGTCTGTATTTATAGAAAACGCAACTACGTTAGAGTTTGGTAGTTTCGGAACGAACTAGTTAGGTTAGGGATGTACGGTTGTTGTAACAACCGTCCACTCGGAGACTATTCCCATTGTGATCATCCTTTATGTATATGTGTACCTATAAAGAAAAGAAAAAAGATAGTGGAAGAGTAAGGAGAAAACATAGTGAGAAAGAAGGGGGCGGAAGAGAGATTATTTTAGCCAATTAAATTTGACAAAGCCTAGAATTTGGTTAGGGTCTATTTTTGAGAAGAAGACTAGATTATCAATTTCATAATTTCCAAACTGTTTATGTCTTCTGCTGATCAGCGATGGACATTTGCAGAGGATGTGCTCAATTGTTTCCAGTTCTTCTTCGTCCTCACATAGACGACAGTAATCCTCTCCACTGGAGTCCCACTTAGAAGTGAGAGATCAAATTTTGCAGTGACCAGTTGATCTCCCTTTTACTGTGTTCCAGCAGCGAAGACGTTCTTTTTCGAGAGAATTCAGGCCGGATAGATTTACAGATTCTGAATGCAGGTTCCCTTAGCCATCTGTTACCGACTACCTCGCAATGGAACGCACGGATTCTGCCAATGAAATAGCTAATGGGGGGTTTCACAGATCTCTCAATCAGAAGACTGGACGACTGTGATCCCCCTCGAGCAAGCTATCTATCGGCTATCTCACTCCCTTCAATGTCGTTATGTCCTTGAACCCAGCATAACCCAACTAAAGTCGTATATCATTCAGAGCGGTCTTAGAATCATGAACTGCTTTCGAATTTATAGTATGCGACTTCACCGCTTTCAGGGCCGCCTGACTATCTACATATATAGTCACCGGTCCCGTAATGTCGGCATTAAGTGCTTTTACTATCTCGGCCGCTTTCGTGATTGCGAGAATCTCTGCTTGAAAAACGCTACCTAATTCCCTACAGTAAACACCTGCGCCAGTGCCTTCCTTCATTTTGGACCCGTCTGTGAAGATTGACAGACCTGGCAGAGGTAGGGAGCCACTAGTCCAGGATTCCCTACTAGGAAATTCAACTTTGATGTCATTAAAGTCCCTATGGGGGGAATATAATCACTGATATGACTATCCCGCCTAAAGAGGTCATAACCTGGCGTTATGTTTAGGATGCTGGCATGACCATAGTTCAGCGATTTCAAGACATTTGTTTCTCGCAGTCTCAGGGCACACCTGGCAGCCTGGAATTTGATCAGAATATCCAATGGTTGGAGATTCAAGATTGCGTTCAAGGCTGCCTGTGGTGTACTTCTTAATGCTCCGGTGATCAGAATTGAAGCCGATCGCTCTACTGAGATCAGTTTTGTCAGCAGCTTCTTTTTGTTCACCCCCTGCCACCGACAAGACAACCATAAGTAAGTATGGGTAAGACGATCGTCGTATACAGCCAGTGTATAATTCCGGGTCTCAATTCCCAACTCTTGCCTATGGAATTCTTGCATGAATAGAGTGCCAGCAATCCCTTCTTGGAGCGTTCCTCAACATTCCGATTCCACAGTAACTTGCGGTCTATGATAGTGCCAAGATATTTAGCTTCATCAGAAAGGGTTAAAGTTACTCCTCCAAGTGATGGCAGACGGAAACTAGGAATTTTGTGTTTCCTAGTGAAGAGCACCAGTTCGGTTTTAGTGGGGTTTACACCAAGACCTTTGGTGCAAGCCCAATTAGACAGGGTTGAAAGGCTACCCTCCAGGATGTCTGATATTGTCGTTATAAACTTACCCCCAACCAGCTAGACTACATCATCGGTATAGGCTACCGCCTTTATCCTGAGATGATTGAATTTCATAAGTATCTCATTTATCACCAGAAGCCACAAATCTGTTGACAGATTTCCTCACGGAACTCTCTCCTAAGGATGAGTTGATAATTCTGCTTTCCAGCATTCTATCAATCCATTCCGTAAGGAGTGAGGGAATACCTATGCCTACGAGAGCAGAATGGATGGCCTCTAGCTTCACATTGTTGAAAGCTCCTTCGATATCGAGGAATGCTGCCAACGTGTAGCCAGAGGACTTCATGTTCTTCTCGATGCATCCAACCATCTCATGCAGCGCTGTAGCCACTGATCTGCCTTTGATGTAGGCATGCTGGGATTTACTAAGTTTACTAAACGAACTAGTTCATTTGAACTATTCCGAGGAAGGAACGATCGGAACTAGTTCCAGCTCTTTAATTAATATATTTCCTTTTTCTAATCTCGTTATGTATTGATCTCGTTCTTTTTTTCTGATCTCGTCCCATATTCTTCATTTTTATTTATTTATAAAAAAAAAGTATTTTGTGCTTATCGTCCTGCAGTTGAATTCTGTAGCTTCATTTCATTTTTTTTTTTTCATTCTTGCACAATTGTCAATTTTTGCATTTTTTACCAAATCAACACGGAACTATATGAGCGAAAAAAAAACGATGAAAGAGAGAGATATGTAAAGGAACTATGTAGGAGTCGGAACTATATGGAGCAAAGGAACTGTATGGAGTAAAGGAACTATATGGAGCAAAGGAACTATATTAAGGAACCAGTTCCTTTTTAAGAAATGAGTGAACTCCGCTAAGTGAACTAGATTGCCCAACTCTAAACTATGTTATTCTATGCTCAATTTTGTACGTTGTGCAAAATTTCATATCAATCTGACAAACATGAGGATTTTGATTTTGATTTACTTAAAATCCGACGAAAATATATATGGAAGCTATATCCAAATATGAACCGATTTCAACGAACTTATCACAGGTTAGTTTATACTAATTTCAGTACGTTTTGTTCCTATCAACCCTATATTGGTTCCTTGGCGCGTCAATTACTTAAAATCAATCGATAATATATATGGGAGCTATATCTAAATTTTAACCGATTTTCACGAAACATGGCAGACATGATTCTAGGCTCAATTCAGTACGTTATGCGAAATTTCGTGCAAATCGAAAAATATACAGGGACTTTGATGCACCATTTACATTAAATCGGACGAATATTTATATATATATATATATGGGAGCTATATCAAAATCTGGACCGATTTTCACGAATCTTTCAGACATCACTCTAGTCTCAACTCAGTTAATTATGCCAAATTTCGTGCAAATCGAAAGATATATAGGGACTTGGGTGTACCAGTCAGTCGAAAATATATATGGCAGCTATATCTAAATCTGAACCGATTTTTCCCAATTTCAGTAGGGTTTGTTCTTGGACCAAATAAATGAGCTGTGCCAAATTTCATCCAATTCGGATTATAAATGCGACCTGTACTTTGTTTACAATTTAACGCCAACAGACGGACGGACGGACATGCATAAATCGACTCAGAAAGTGATTCTATGCATATTCTCAAAAGGAACAATGGGTCTAGCTCGTTTCATTCTTCCTGTTACAAACATATGCACAAAGACATAATACCCTGTACCACAGTGTGGTTTTTGATAACTACTTTTTTATAAGACTTCGAAATCTTGATTTTCGGATGTTAACAATGCCGACTTTTAGTCATTGTTAGATTTCTTTAATTATACATTGTACAATTATTATTGTTGTTGCTTATTTTCGGAACATGATGTAATAAAAACTTAACTATAAATAAATGAAAGACCCGAAGTCCTCTTTCATGTGGCCATTAAATGACTCTTTTATTAAGATGACTTTTTTCTGACTAAAAAGTAAACAACATTTTAAATCATTTGGAATTGTGTTTTTACAACAACAACGTGAATGCACCTGTCCCCCAGTTCCTCCATTTGTTTACATTTCACGAAGACATTTCTATGATAGTTGGCGTTGTTGCCAATAATGTCTGAATTAGCCTTAATTTGGTAAGAAAACAAACCAGTCAACAACAATAGAAAACGGACGGAAGACATTCACCCAACTCATGAGAATAGATAGTAAATGGTCGCAACACCGGACAAAATTTGTAAAATTGATTGTTTACTTTTGTTTGCCAAATAGGGGCTTCCCAATTATTCCGAAGGTATGGTGGGGATCTTAATTTTATTTTTGTTTGTTTCTTTTTCCTTTCATTTGGGAGGGTGTATGGTGTAATCAACGCCAGTTATGTGTTATGCTGTTTTGTTGTTAAATTGTTAAATTTTGTCTAGCTAGGTGT